TTTTTTTTTTTTTTTCCTCAGTTCACTCCAACCCTGCCTTCTGGGTTCAAGTGATTCCCCTGCCTCAGCCTCCCAAGTAGCTGGGATTACAGGCGCCCACCACCACGCCTGGCTAATTTTTTATATTTTAGTAGAGACAGGGTTTCACCATTTTAGCCAAGATGGTCTCTATGTCCTTACCTCGTGATCCCCCCGCCTCAGCATCTCAGTGTTGGGATTACAGGTGTGATCCACCGCACCCAGCCTGATTTTGTATTTTTAGTAGAAATGGGGTTTCACCATCTTGGCCAGGCTGGTCTTGAACTTCTTTTTTTTGAGACATATTCTCAACTCTGTCGCCCAGGCTGGAGTGCAGTGGCATGATCTCGGCTCACTGTAACCTCTGTCTCTCGGGTTCAAGTGATTCTTTTGCCTCAGCGCCCCCATCCCCAGTAGCTGACTCTACAGATACATGCCACCACACCTGGCTAATTTTTTTTTTTTTTTTTTTTTTTTTTTGAGACAGAGTCTTGCTCTGTTGCTCAGGCTGCAGTGTAGTGGTGCAAACTCAGCTCACCATAATCTCTACCTCCCAGGTTCAAGCGATTCTCCTGCCTCAGTCTCCTGAGTAGCTGGGATTGCAGGCACACGTAACCACGTCTGACTAATTTTTGTATTTTTAGTAGAGACAGGGTTTCACCATGTTGGTCAGACTGGTTTCGAACTCCTGACCTCGTGATCTGCCTGTCTCAGCCTCCCAAAATGCTGGGATTACAAGCGTGAGTCACCACGCCTGGCCATGGCCTTGGACTTCTGATTTTGTGACCCACCCGCCTCCCCCCGCAAAGTGCTGGGATTATAGGCGTGAGCCACCGTGCCTGGCCTTGAAATATTTGTATTTCTTTATTTTTTTTGGACAGGAAGTAAATTTATTGGTGAATATTAAGAGGGGATAGCACAGTGGAAGCCCGTGGCAGGAATTTGTATTTCTTTTTATTTTTTTATTTTTTTGGTTAATTCAGTCCCAGTAGAGACTGCCAAAAATTGCCAACACTGACTATATTTCAAGTTGTCAAGGTGGGGTATTGGAAAAAGTTTTCAATTGGCAATAACTGCGCCTCGGATAAACCTCATTGGCTACGATACTGCCACTGTGCAAAGTTAGGAATTTGTATTTCTAACAAGTTCCCTGGAGGACTACTTCAGCATGGAAATTGCTGATCTAGTTCCACACCCTACCTCATGCAGTCACCCTTTACAGCCTCCCTGGTAGGTGATTATCCACTTCTATTCAAATACCTCTGGTGCCAGGGAGCTCATCCCCTCTGAGGAAGCCCTTTCCTTCCTTGCATGAGCCCAAGTAGTCCTCTTTGTGACCACCCCCTCCTTCCACCATCAGCCTGAGGGCAGATCCCCAAAGGGATAACCATCCCCACCCTTAGCCTTCTCTGCCTGAATCCAGCCCCCAGTTCCTTCCTCCACTCCTGGGAAGGAAGGAGGTGAGACAGCAGCAGCCTGTTTATTCTGTTGCCGAGGACCACATTCCTTTGTTCGGTGGTTCTCCATCCTACCTGTGCTCCAGCATTGTGTGGGGGAGATTTTTAAAAATGTGGATGTTGGCCAGGCACGGTGGCTCATGCCTATAATCCCAGCACTTTGGGAGGCAGAGGCAAGTGGATCACTTGAGGTCAGGAGTTCAAGACCAGCCTGACCAATGTGGTGAAACCTCGTCTCTGCTAAAAATATGAAAATTAGCTGGGCACAATGGCAGATGCCTGTAATCCCAGCTACTTGGGAGGCTGAGGCAGGAGAATTGCTTGAACTTGGGAAGTGGAGGTTGCAGTGAGCTGAGATCGTGCTACTGCACTCCAGCCTAGTTGACAGAGCCAGACTCTGTCTCAGAAAATAGTAATAATAAAATAAATAAATAAAATAAAAATGTGGATGTCTGGTCATAGCATCACCCCGCTTCACACCCAAACTTCCCAATCTTTTTTTTTTTTTTGAGAGGGAGTCTCGCTCTGTCACCCAGGTTGGAGTGTAGTGGCACAATCTCAGCTTACTGCAACTTCTGCCTCCCGGGTTCAAGCGATTCTCCTGTCTCAGCCTCCCGAGTAGCTGGGACTATAGGTGCATGCCACCATCACTGGCTAATTTTTGCATGTTTAGTAGAGACGGGATTTTACCATGTTGGACAGGCTGGTCTTAAACTCCTGACCTTAGGTGATCCACCTGCCTTGGCCTCCCAAAGTGCTGAGATTATAGGCGTGAGCCACTGCACCCAGCCCCAACTTCCCAACCTTATGCCCCTGGGTGAGCCATCTGGTGGCTGGGGGCCGCTTGTCCCTGGTTAAGAATGGTGGCTTGAGTTATCTTACTGGAATTAAACAGAAGCCCTAGTTTATAGCAAGTAATTACATTGTTGGCCTCTGTCTGAGCACTTTTCATACATCATCTCATCGAATCCTCCAGCACCCTGTGAGGTAGGTCGTTGTTGGAGCCACTTTACAGTTTTGGAAATTGAAGCTTTGAGAGGTGAAATTGCTTGCATTAGAGTCCTGGGCCAGGAAGTGATGAGATTCTGACTGATCATGGGAAAGCTGGTTCTGAAGGGTACCCAGAGGACTGAGGAATGGGTAATGAGGCCAAGGTGAGGTGGGACCTGGGCTCCTTAACCCCAGTGGGCCTGCTGTAGTCTTCCCTCATCAGGATGCCTCTTTCCTGTACACGGAGCCCCTAGGCCGGGTGCTGGGCATGTGGATCGCGTTGGAGGATGCCACGCTGGAGAACGGCTGTCTCTGGTTCATCCCTGGCTCCCACACCAGTGAGGAACCCTGTCTCTTCTGCCCACTTGGACTCCCCATCCTGTAGGGAGAGGGACCCTGAGAAATGAGGAGTTTAAAGCTCTCCATCTTGTCCTGTAGGTGGCGTGTCAAGAAGGATGGTCCGGGCCCCTGCTGGTTCAGCGCCTGGTACCAGCTTCCTCGGGTCAGAGCCAGCCTGGGATAACAGCCTCTTTGTGCCCACCCCAGTACGGAGAGGTAGGCAGATGCAGAGGGCAGAGAGGCAGGGGGCTGTGTCTGTCGGTCTATGCTTGCTCAACTATGCAGCGTCCAAGAGATTGCCCTCGGGGTCATCTGAGGGCAGTGAAGTCACAGAAAGAGAAGGAGGGGCTGGATGGGCACTGGGAAGTCAGGAAGCAGCTGGGTTCCCTGCAAGTTGACCCAGATTACATTAGAATCCACACTCTGCTACTTATGGGCTATTTCTCTGGGCAAATGACTGCCTCCCTGAGCCTTAATTTCCCCAAAGGTAAAGTGGGAAGTCAGTGAGATGATAAATATGTTGACATAGGGTCCACCTAGTGCACAGCAACTGCTCAACAAATGTTGGCTATTGCACGGGCCCTTTTCCTTATGAGAAGGGAAAACCAGTGTTGAACTCAGCATCACTGGAGAGGTCCCAGTGGACTGGCACAGTACAGACGGCTTCTGCCTGATCTTGCAAACACCTCGGGAGGGGAGGCCCTTCCCAAGGCTTGCCAAGGCCACAGGCCACAGCAGAGAGGACTTGATCCCAGGTGAACTCACATCTCAACAGCTTAGCTTCTGACCCTGCGGCAGGCTGCAGGTGCCTGAGCTTTCAGGGAGGGGAATGAGGATGGATGGGGGCCACAAAACCGCTGGAGGGAGGAGGCCCCATGTCCCTTCCTGCCCTGGGGAGGGGATGTGGGGCTGGTGGGTTCCTGACCTGCTTGCGTCTCTGCCAGGGGCCCTGGTCCTCATCCACGGAGAAGTGGTGCACAAGAGCAAGCAGAACCTCTCCGACCGCTCACGCCAGGTCTACACTTTCCACCTCATGGAGGCATCTGGCACCACCTGGAGCCCAGAGAACTGGTAGGTGACAGGGTGGGTGTGTGCACCCAACAGTCCCCTGGAGGATAGGAGCAGTGACCCTGCACCTCAAGGTTATCTCCTCTGTCCTCTGCAGGCTCCAGCCAACAGCTGAACTGCCCTTTCCCCCGCTGTACACCTAAAGGTTCTCACAGGATGGGAGCCCTGGACCCTCTCCGTGAAGCTGTGGGCTGCAAACACCAGCGCCTTGCTCGGCCTCCTGGTTGTAACAGGGAGGTCTCGGGGCTTTCCTCTTGCCCTGTGGGCAGCAGCCTGGGCGGGGTCAGGGCTTCCCCAATATTTTCACCTGTCTGCCTCCCTACTGCCCCAACACAGCCTTGAGGAGGCCTCTCAGCCACCAAAGAGTGCTGGCCCCTTCTCACTCTCCTCTCCTCTCAGATGGAACTCTGGTTATTATGGTGTTAGATATTGAATAAAAATGACTTCAGAATGCAGCTTCCTGACTGAGCCTTCTTTCCCAAGCAGCATTGCTTTCCAGACAAGAAAACTGCCTTTCAGACAAGGTGCTAAAATGCATCTCAGCCATCCCAGCCCTGCTTGGTGTGGCTTGCACGATTTTATTTATTTATTTTTTTAAAAAAGACAGGGTTTCACCATGTTGGTCAGGCTGGTCTTGAACTCCCGACCTCAGGTGATCCGCCCGCCTTGTCCTCCAAAGTGCTTGGATTACAGGCATGAGCCACCACGGCCAGCCTATTTATTTATTTTTGATTTATTTATTTATTTTTTTCCAAGACAGAGTCTTTCTCTGTTGCCCAGGCTGGAGTACAGTGGTGTGATCTTGGCTCACTGCAACCTCTGCCTCCAGGTTCAAGTGATTCTCCTGCCTCAGCCTCCTGAGTAGCTGGGATTACAGGTGTGTGCCACCACTCCTGCCTAATTTTTGTATTTTTATTATTATTATTTTTTTTGTTATTATTTTTTGAGACGGAGTTTCACTCATGTTACCCAGGCTGGAGTGCAATGGCGCGATCTCGGCTCACCGCAACCTCCGCCTCCTGGGTTCAGGCAATTCTCCTGCCTCAGCCTCCTGAATAGCTGGGATTACAGGCATGCACCACCATGCCCAGCTAATTTTTT